TGTTGGTCAAAAGTCCAAAGAGTGGGGACTGTTTAAAATCAAAGCTGTTCCCATTGTTTGGTTTATTCTCATGAAGCAGTTAGTTTAGTTTCAGCTGGGGAAATGGGGTTACAGTGAATTCCAAACATGGAATCTGGTGTTTATTTGAGAGTCTCTGAGCACTCTGAGTCTCATAGACCTCTTTGTGACTCTGCTGTCCCACTGGAGGAGGACAGTGAGAGTGATAATACCTTGGACTCGAGAGGATACAGGAAAGAGCCAGGGGATTCCCAGATCACAATTACCAAGTACATACATGGAAACCATCACCAAGGTTATCTTGTCAACCTCGCCACATGCTGCTCTCCAAGGAAGGCACCCCTGTACTTCTCAGTCTGCCGTTTCGAAAATATTTCTCCCTTTTCGCTCTAAAGCACTGCAGTAAACTAACGCCAGGAATTCTGGCCTGAGGTTGCTGGCCTGGTGGACAGAGTCTCAGAATTAATTGGCCCTTGACCTAGGAAATGCTGAATGTGACCAAAGCTGCTCCCAAAATGGGATTTTTCTAACACAAAGAGACATTTTACCTTATCTCAGTCCTTTCCAGATGAAGAAACTACAGCAACCAGCTATTTAATAGAAGCTTAAATCAACATTTGAATGTGTTTGGATCTTTAAGTCAGTCCTCCTTACTTCAAACACCCTGGTTCGAAAGCTTGAATTATATGCAAGAAGGGGATTCCTTGATACTTATCACTTATTTGTAATTTAGGTAAAATGCTGAATGAGATTTCCTTAAAGGTTTTATGGTGAAATGCATTGTATTTGAATGTTGAACTAATACATAGTCAGGGAGGAACTCAGGGTATAGTCAGAAAATAGCTTTGTTCATTTTCCTCATGCCTACTCAAACCTGTTCTGTGGCATTAGTTTTCTTGTCCCTTGGAGGCATGAATGCAAAGGCCCTGAGATTTTCTGGGTCACTCTCAATTAATAAAATGACCTCTGCTTATTTTTGATGAAAAATAAGGCCTTACAACACTCATTAATTTATCTGGTATGTGGATGGTTTCACTTATATGTGAAATAAGAGAAATCAAATGAAAGATCAAACAAAGACAAACTTTAGGACCTCCCTGATGGCACAAGTGGTTCAGTCCCAGCTCTATAAAGCTATCCACAGCCACTGCAGCACAAGTTCAATCCCTGGCCAGGGAGCTGACCCACATGGTACAGCAGACCTCTCCTGTCTCACCCACTGCTCCCCTCAGTAGATCCCCCTATTCTGCTCCCCACTCTGTCTATAGTGAGTCCTCTCACTCTCCACATCTCTGGCCTACACCCCAGTTCTTATATGCATACATAAATAAATCTTTTTTTTAAAAAAAAGTAAACTTTAAGATTAACTTGATAGTTGACCATAGAAATGAAGCGCCCAGAAGGGGTGGAGCCATGGGAGCTAAAGGGGGAAGGGTGGAAGCAGAGAGAGCACAATGGAAGATGCTGAAGACAATGGGGGTTTTGGGGTGGGAAAGCTACAGTAACACACCTGAGGGGAGAAACCCCATGGAGTGAAAAACAAACACAAGATGTAAATTAATGGTATACATAGTGTACTAATAAACACACTATACTTCAGTTGGCAACAAGGAGCAACGGCTGGCTTGCTCAGTATTTCTTCCAGTCTACAGTTCCACACTCTTCCTTCACTCACTAGGTTGCCAAACTCCTCCCGGACTAAAGCGGAAGATCCTGGCTTGCTCCAGCTGGCATGGCTTCCCTGGCATTGCTCATGTTTCTGGTTGACACTTTCTCTCATGGCCACTTTTTGGGTTTGTCCAAATTATGCTCACCACCACCCTCTGGAAACACTCTCATCACCCATTTCCTTACCACAGACAAGTTCATTTTGCCTCTGCAAGTATTTTTCACTCTTCTCCCAGGCCTTCTGGTTTCTTTCTGTCAAACTCTCTTGACCTTACCAAGAAGTCCTGGGGAGGATCAAAGTCCATCCCACACCATCTGTCTCACTCTCAAAGACTTTGTCTTCTGTGGGAGTAAATTACCGACCCGACCATATCTCTGCCTTGTGTTCAGCCTCTCAGCCAACTCTGGCCCTTAAGGTTTCCCATGTTTGAGTCAGACTGCAGTCCATCGTGTTCCCAGACTGCAGGGGACACATCCAGGGCTCTGTAAGACAGCTCTGCCTGAAGTCCTCTCGCCATACTTCAGGTGAGAGAAAAGCCTCCTGTACTGTCCCCTGGGAGAGGGGGTCTTGGAGGGGCCTCAGAAAACCTACAGCTCCCTCTACAGAAACTCTTCTGTAATCTTCAGCTGCCTCTTCAGCCTCTACTTCAGTCCTCTTATATCTTCAAGTTAAATGAGATGTTAAGGCAACATGCCTTTGCAGGTCCTACATGGAGCTCTGCAGCTTATTCACCATGTGAGAGCAGTTAACAACTATTACCTGGGGTCTCTACCAAAATAGAAACAAATAATATCTCACACTGAGCATCCTGACACCAAGTGTATTCTCATTCACCTCCCAGTTACCCCTGCAAGGTTTTCTGTAATTGGTAGATGCTGGTGAAGATCAAGTGCCATTCTGATGAACTTGATATGATTTTGTTGTTTATCCATCCAAGACAACTGGAATTTTTGGTGTTCGGATAACAGTTAGCAATTATTTTGTTATATAGAGGCTTTTCATGATAAAGATGGATTCCCCAGATCCTGGGAGTGTTATTATTGGTCATACTTCTCAAGTTCTGTTTTTCTTTTATTTTCTTTTTAAGATTTATTTATTTATGCATGCAGAACTGGGGTACAGGCCAGAGGTGCAGAGGCAGTGAGAGGATTCACCAGAGACAGAGTGGGGAGCAGAACAGGCAGATGCATCCATCTACTGAGGGGAGCAGCGGGCAGGTCAGGAGAGGTCTGCCATGCCATGTGGGTCACCTCCCAGGCGGGGATCGAACTCACACTGAAGCCCCTGTGGCTGGCTTCCAGGCTTCCAGTGTTGCGTCCTAACTCGCTGTACCACTAGGGAGGGTCCTCAAGTCTATTTTTCTAACTGAAGAAGGGAAGTGACTTGGTGACCTGGTGAGCAGCATGGTGTCAAATGTTGGTGTCTCATGGCGTGATTTATGTCCCTGCACTAATTTCATCCCACCCCTCAAAGTTTGTGATTGGTATCTAGCTGTAGGCTTTAGACCCAGTATGCTCTGTTCTTGGCTCTTTCCACAAAGCCTGAAGCATTTTGAAACACTGTCAACAGATCATTTAAGAAAACAGCATGATTCTTTGTATACTTTTCTTTGAAGGATAACCAGCTATGGCATTCTGATTCTTACACCCAGCATGATTTACAAGATCTGAGCTCCTATTGAATACATGGTGGACACATTTTAATGAGTGGGACACCAAGACCAGTAAAAACATGGATGACTTATGTTTTGTTTGTTTTCCATTCTCTCTAAGCTTCAGTAGAATTTTCATAACATCAACAGAATTGCTTATAGCAACTAACTCTCCTTCATGGCCAGCATTTTGACATAATATTTCAACTGTCACTGTCAGGAATGTAATTTGTATCACTCTTTGGGTTTATGTGGATGGACATTTTGGAGATGAAGGTGGCAATGATTTAGTGCTACTGACAAATGGCACTGAGCCTGCTATCCTTACAAACGTAAGTTGGTTTCTTAAGCAAAAGTGCCTGGCTCTAAGTGAAAATGAAAATGTTCAAATAAATTAAACACAGTGTGAGAATTCTCCAGAGTCCTCCCATAGAGAAAAAGCGATGCAAGGATATTTTCTATATTGGGGATCCAATTACCAAGAAAGGCAGTGACTTCACTCCTGTGTGTCTCTGGAAAAACACCCATGTGTTGATCCTTACTCTCCCCTGAACCTCACCCCAAGTTCTGACTCAGGGTAGCATTCTTATTTTTTTTAAAGGCTCAGTAGTGATCCCAGTTGTGATGATTATATATTCAGAAGTTTTAAAAGAAGGGATTGAATGGTCTTTGCTAATGAATTCTTTGAGCCATCCTGAGTTATATGAATACCAGAGAGGACATGGAGGGTGGCACCTCACAGCTGGAATCATTCACGAAAGGGCATCAAGGAGACTTCACTTTGAGGAAGTCACAGATCACTTGAGAGTCTGCTGAAAGCTATAGCTACTCTTCTCAGAAAAATACACAGACTAACTCCCACAAAATTTAGCACATACTCTCACAGATCCTGTTATAGGGCACCCCAAAGCTCCACCCTCCTTTCTGGGTGGGGCAGGAACCTGGAACTTCCCTTTTTCCTAGGGACCACCCTGTTACAATCCTACACTGGAATTAAGGTTTTTCTGTTTGTATTTCTGTTTGTTTTTGCTCCTGAGCTGAATGGATAGCAGTTCCCATACATCAGGGTACGGAAAACAGGAGAGGTCAGTTTCCCCCTTCAAAAAGCTCACGGTCTAGTCGCCAGGAGAAAACAGTAGCAAAAATATCCATGCACACATATTCAAGCAACTGCTACAAGCCTTGTAAAGGGAGGGAGTTCTCCAAAGCTGAGTGGAGGATTTTAAATGTGTGCTTAGAAAGGCAGCAGATAAAGGAGACAGGCGTGGAACCTGGGCCCACAACTTTCTAGGGCCGCCACCCCCAAAAGAATGGAGGTGTGTGTGGCTGAGGCAGCTTGATAAAGGAGACTGGGGAAGGCCAGTAAGGCTACGTTTGGGATAAAGGGCACCAATCCACGGCCTGTTAGAGGTCAATGTCACGGTGCCAATGGCAGGTTAGGGTTCCGGTTGGGGAGACTATTAAAATGCTGGTGAATACGGTTCTACAACAGACACAGAGGAGACGCTGGGAGAAAAAGAACAAGCTGGCCCTGGGAGGGCAGCCTTGGAGTCCGCCCTTCATTGCCAGGGTCAGAAGTTGGCCCTGTGTTTGCGCTGTAGGATGAAAGAAAACCGCGGGAGAGCGCTGAGTGGCCCAGAACTATATTCAGCCAGTGGGCATGAAAATGAATTTTAGCTTCTATGTGCAAAACCCCTAGGTGTGTGGATAGAAGGGAGCCAGTCAGAAGGTTACAACAGGTCAGGAATAAATAACCACCAGGCGGAGGATCCCATATTCCGTCCTTCCTTTTGTTGGGTGAGGAGCGCCAGCCCAACGCGTCCACAAAGAAGCGGTTAGACTGTCCACACTCGGCTCCAGCCTCTGGTAACTATTAGGGGCCCGGAGGGGTTGTGGGAAGTCTGAGCCCGGGAAGGGATGATGCCCTCCAGCCCCCACCCTCGCTTTGACCCCCGCAAGGCCTCGCAGCGGGGACCCCAGAATAAGTCGGGGGCGGGCTGCGGCGCGGCGGGAGGGAGCCGGCTGGGCGGGCGAGCAGATCCCACCCCTTCCTGAAGGAAGCGCCCTCCTCGTCGCCACTGCTGCCTCCGCCGCCGCCGCAGGTCACGGCCCCGCGAGGCGAC